CAGAGAACATTTGTTTACGTCTCCGCATAAATAACGAGTGTGGAAATGTAGTTTTCAAAGATTAAAATGCAAAATTGACACCCAGTTTTTAATTTTCCAGGGGTATGACGTTTTTGTATTGACGCTCTCACTTTCTTATTCACGGTTGACATTTGAGATAACGTCTCATGTAAAATAAAAAAAAAATAAAAAAACTTCACGTTGAATTCGAATAGCCTAAAAAGCAGACAAATATTTCGTAAATCAGTGTTGGTGATAGTTAGCAACGTGCTACGCTAGCTGTGTAAAAAAAAAAGAGAAATGTTTGCGGCTCCACCAGTCTTCCAACGCTTTCAACGTTGGGAAAAACAAAGGCTACGGTCGACGTTTCGGACATAAACGAAGCACGTGGTTATAATTCATATCGTATTTTTTAAGCGCGTCTTATTCGGGAAGTTTACCATTGCGACGCGAAGACATTTCATCCAAAATCGAAGAAGATGCAAGCCGATGATGACAGTCTCACACACAGCCGCGTCAGCGAGCTGGCCCAAGATCATCTGCGAAACAAAGATGGTACCTCTCTTTCCTCGGCCCGCGCCGCACTCTTTTCGGTACACGGGTGTGACGCGCTTTAAAAGAGCTTTTGTATTGTAGTCATTCCAGTTTACGTTTATTTCGTATATTATGTTAGAGGGGAAAGTTTCACTGGCATAAATGATTTGTTATGACATAACAGTTGCAGTACATGGCGTTTTTTTTTATTTTTATTTACCGAACTCCTCCTGACCGTTAGAGGCGCAACAGACACACAGAACATAGTATCACTCATGTTACTTGTGACCCGGATGTAGTCCCCCACCCCTTCCAAAAAAAAAACAAAAAAAACACGCGAACATTTTGGCGTCGTGTTGCTTCTGTAATGGATAAACGGAGTAAATCAAGTTCGCAGGATTTGTTGTCATGCGGTAGCGGTGGAGGTGAGCAAAGAAAACCAGATTTTTTTTTTTTTGCTCTTAAAAGGGGAGGTTGCATTGAATGGGTTGCTTTTACGTGATTTAGTTAGAAAACCTCATGCTAGTACTGTAGAGGGTCCTTCGGTTTACGACGAATGCATTTGTACTAAAATCTCCCGACTTTATTATTATAGTCAATAATTGAAAATCCCTTCTCGGCGATACATATCAAACCTATGTGGAAAGTAAATACAATACTGAGTGTGCCTTCGTGTCCCGCGTCACAACGTAAGTCGGGGACGGACTGTACTCGATCGTTTGTTTATTTAAAAGCTTAAATATTGTCATTTTTGTTACTCAGGTCTCGTTGAGAAGCTGCTGCTGAAACCACGGGATGGGCTGAAGACAGAAAGAGTTCCACGCAGCAGCGGTGAGATGAATTGTGATCATTGGCATACAGTACTGACCGATGGAACGAAGAAGAAACGCATGCGCAAATACAAATTGGGATTTCTGTTCTGGAACAGTGATGGAACGGCTGCAGAATTTCCTCCCGCAGATCGCGGAAGCCAATCAGAAGCTAAAGCAGCAGATTGAAGAAACTTCTGCAACACATTTCGACATAGAGGACGTTGAGGCGGCAGAGAAAATTATCGAGATGGTGAGCAGAAAACTTTTCCACAGTTCGTTTGACGACATGATTTGTACACGGTGGTTCAGTTCTTCTTCCGTGTTTTCCAGGACGTTGCGCTGGTAGAGCTCAGCGGATCAGATAGCGAGTCGGAGGAGGACAAGGAGAGTTCTTCTGACTCCGAGGAAGAGGAATCGAACATGATTTTAACCGAGCGGAATCTCAAACTACCGGGACACAAAGGCAAGAAGGAGAGCATCAACATCCAGGTTGTGGAACAGCCGGAGAAATAGATGTGTCGTCCACATGGGAGATTTAAGACTTTTATATTGACAAGACCGGACTGTCTTGGGTGATTAAAAGGACACAAAAGCTCCTTTACTGAACTGAAGAGCCTCCCCATGGGAACAGTTTGCACTCATTCAGGATGGAGTCGAGTCATTTGCCTTAAGGGTCGGAGCAGATCCAGCAATTAATTACGTGTTTGCCCAATGGGGATTCTTTTTTTTTTTTTCTTCTTTTAGTCTCCCCAAAGTGTTACATGTAGTTTTGATGTACAGCAAGCCATTCCGGATAATAAAAGGACTCTGATGGGTTTGGGGATGACAACAAATGGATCTATATTTTGTACATGATGGAAGTCAAATGTGAAATTGTGGATTGATAAGATTGGGAAATCCCAACTGTCACTGTCCAGGCCAGGAGGCTCTGAGGTTAAAGAGAATTAAGACATCACAAGGGGCCAAGTAGTAAACTCCCAACTCGTTCAAGGCGGACTGCGGCGAGGGGTCGTCCCTTCCCGTCCAATCCCTGGTGTCCTCTGCTGAGGAAGACTCCTTGATGAGGTTCCTCAGCAGGATAGCAGAACCCACGTTAAGGCACAAGATGATGCAGGCTTCCTTAACACTGGGAAGACGGGAAATTTGATTTTAAAAAAAAATAATAATAAACAAGACTGTGCTTTTTCTTAGCAGAATGCTACGTTCAAAATATGCAGTGGGACATTTGAAATGAAAATCGTGCGTTTCATCTACGTGCTCATAAGCATCCTGATTTACACATTCAGGTGGAACTTTTTCCCCTTCACCGCCGAATGTAAAAGAAGGTCTACGATGCACCTTTCTCTGTACTTACTGCTTAAAAAAGTTCTCAGGTCTTTTGCAGTAGTGACCGAAGAGAGGGAAAAGATTTCGGGTCATGTCAAACTGAAGCTGAGCTGCTCCTCCATCGCTAAAATGATTGGACAGGACCACCTGAAAGAGAGAGAAATGCATGGACATATAAAGTCACTTGATTCCAGTTACGCAAGGGTGTCCTGCTACCTTTAATAAGCCTTTTAAATTGGGTTGGGTGAGGGAGGCGGGCAAATGTATCTGCTTACTTCCTGGTAGAGAAAGCTGTCCAGTCTCTCTGCGAGGCCCTGCCAAGCCAGCTGGAACAGCGACAGACTTAAAACCTGATGCAGGTTCAACAGACTGTCCCTGATGCAAAGCATCATGGGACACGCGGAACTGGACAAAGTCATGGCGGACAGGTCGTGCTGGGACGGATGAGAAAACCACCTACAAGGGCGGGAGGAGAACGGAGGCGATTCATGCCGAGCCAACGCTCGCGACTGACAAGGAAGAAGAAGAATCCGCACCTGTCTTGGCAATATGTTTTGGCTTTTTCCGCGATGTCCCTCATAATGCCGTCCAGCAGCCGGCCCATCATGTCTCCTCGAAGTCGATCCAGCAGGGCCAGCAGGCCTTCGAAGAGCGAGCTCTCCATGGAGGCCAGGCGACCCATCTCCATCATCCCCAAGCCACCCACCACCGCCGCCTCGTCGCCGAGCGCCACGGCCGCCTGTTGCAGCTGCAGGAAAAACTAAACGAGCGGGAAATGAGCAAAAAATTGTTTTTAATCATTAACCCTTTCGTGCATAAACAATGACAACCCCTGTCCCTGAAAGGGTTAACCAATAAAAATAAATACACATGCGGAAAGACTCCCAATTTGAAGTGTCAAGCCATCGGTCACAATCACACCCACGGATCGAGCCTTACCACATTGTCCCCCCAGTCCGTCAAGATGGTGGAAATGTAGTTGACGGCGTTGAGGATGGCGCAGTAGCGTGGACTGAGCGGGCAGCGCGACTCCTCTTTCATCACCTGAATGAAACGGAAGAGAAAAGTCGTTCAGCGAGCGCCGGTTTCTCGACCGCGGTCAGAACAAAATAATACAACACCTAAGACACAATCTTAACCACCTTTCTGCATACTCTTTGCTGTTTGAAGCCGTTATAGATGAAAGAGGAAAAGCCAAGGATTGTATTTTCATTTATGGGGGCAACTCTAACCCAAATGTATTGTTTGAAATGACCTGAGTGAGTCGTATACGGAAGTCATCCACCAACTCTTTCTGGAGCTCCAGAAACTTCAGCTGTGCGGACGGACAAGGTAACGGCCGGTAGCGGTCTAAAAGGGGGGAAAAAAAAAATAACCAGAAATACATTTTAACATTGTAGTGGTGCTCAGTGTTTATCCCATTTGGGGTCAAGGCTTTACCCGTGATGACCTGGAGCAGAGTCATGAAGGTCTCGGCACAATCCGGGGACTTGAGCTCATCCATGTCTCGGATGTCTTTGTACTGAGAGATCCACGCTCCTTCAGCTGACAACATGCCATCCACCTTCTCCAGCGCCACTGCGCGCACACACACACGCAACACGTGTTTATAGCGTTGCGCCATCGCCCGCCGCCGGGAAAATTTGATCCACCTTCTCCAGCGCCACTGCGCGCACACACACGCAATACGCGTTTTTAGCGTTGCGCCATCGCCCGCCGCCGGGAAAATTTTGCCAACCTACTTTTCTTCTCCACCGTGAGCCACTTCTGGAGGACGGCGTCATCGAGCAGCAGGTGGAGCAAGCCGGGCAGAGGCGGCGGGTAGGAGTGGATGCTCCGCAGCTCCTTCTCGAACTGGAGCACCTCCTCCACTAGGTGGCAGAAGAGCGTGTCGTCGTAGAGCAGGCGGGACGCGTCACCTGCCACCTTCTCCCGGACTAAAGTGAGCAGGCCTCGACACAACTCGACCTGAAAGAGTACCCTCGGTTATTCTAATAACTCACTGAATTTCTTCGCTGATATATAAACTTTTTTTTTTTGGGGCGGTGGGGCTACTATTCATCAAAAATACAAGGCATGAGCTCATTGAATTATACGCACCCTGGCATTGACGGTGGCATGAGCTCGGTCCAGGATAGGTTGGATCTTTTCCTCCAGGAAGGTTGTGTTGTTCCCTATCCACATGAGCACCTGAGTCAGGTACCACTCAGGCTGCAAATGAACGCACAGACGCAAGTTTCACAAACAGAGGGTTGCGTGGATGCATGACGAGTGAAGGGTAGAGCAACCTTGCCGGGAGTGTTGGTCTGTCGATTGCCATAGAAGTGATATCGGAACCTCTTGCTGAGTGGCTGCAGCATGATCTTGATGGGCAGGCAGAGCGGAGGATCTTTGGGGAAAGCCACTGCCTGGGCTTCGGCTTTGGAGCAGGGCGACGTCCTCTGAGAGATGAGGTCATCACTGGACGGGAGAGAGTTAAAGAATCCGACGGCTTACTTGAGTCACTTCCTTGACTCGGACATTTGGAAGGGAAGGATACGATGTCTGGAGGGCCAGCAGCTGTGTGACGAGCAGCTCCAGCTGACTGGCCAGCTCTTGCCCGTTGGCAGCGGGCGTGAGAGACTGGGTAGGAGGGGAGATGATCGGCCAGTGGAGCTGGGTCAACACCTTCTCCAAATCCCTGAGAATTGCACAAGATGAAGAGATGAGTTAACTTCAACCAAAATATGATTTCGTTCAATAGGGAAGAATGATTTAATTGTAATCGTAAGTCAGGGTACCGCTGTATGTCACATGTATACATGCTTGACAGGGATGAAGTGGGCCGTTTACCCAGCCAGCCGATCCTTGATGATCTTGTGCCAGAAGTGAAGAGTTTCGCGGAGAAAGTCCCGCAGGTGAGAACATTTGGACTCACTCAGACCGGCATCCATTACGGCCATGCTCTCCACAGCCCTGATGGCCTCCCACACGCTGCTGGTCATCAGACACTGTTGGACAACAGCGCTGTGGATACACAGAGTGCAGTAAATCCAAGATGGTCATTTAAAAAAAGAAAAGGAAAAAAAAAACAGACGGCAGGGATTGGATTTCGTACCTGAGCTCTTCAATGTGCTGAAGGCAGCGGAGATACTTCATGTGTCTCTCCACCGTCTCCACTTGGCTCAGCTTGCGGCTGAGAGTATCCATCCATGGCTGGGAGCCTTGGAGGTGCTACGAGTGGGAACAGAGAACTGCTTTTTGCAAATATTTCCGGAGGAATTTGGTCATAATTACACAGTATGTAATTGGAGAAAGTACCGCAGCTCATCTTATCCAATACTATCTCATATTTGACAGTAGTAAAACAACCCATTTCGGCAAAAAACGCACTTCACAGTGACGTTTCAAAGTGTAAAATTAAAAAAAGATATATATCGTGTCGTCTTATTTACCTGTTGCAGTTTTGTGGAGATGAGTTTCTCTCGTTGCAGAAGCTCCTCCAAAGAAGATCTGGCATCTTCAGCAGCAGACAGAGCTGCAGACACTTGGGGAGGTGCAGAGCTGGACACTGTGAACACCTAAATGGAGGTACACGACACATCGATTCAAACATTTCCGATGTCTTGTTGTACATTTAATGCTCACCTGTTTTTCTAACGTGCTGTTGTCCTCTTTTAATTTCTCCAAAAGGCTTCCCACATTCCTCAGAGATTTCAAGTCGCTGCCCACTTCTTTGTCCAAAAAACCCACCACATAGTCACGCATTTCGTCAGAAAGATCCGAAAAACAACGACTGTCAAGTGTATCAACTCGATTCAAAGACTCTTTTGACAGATTTTCAGCACCGACGTCTCCCCCTGCGGAGGACGCCATCTTGGCTCTGACAGAAAACAAACTTCCTGCCACGAAGGTACCTACGTCAGAGAAGGAGCTTGTTTTAATATCTAGCGTCCCCCGCAGGCGGAAAATTGTTGCAAATGAATTGGTGTGAATAAAACCTCGCCCGCCCGGCATTTGAAGTCAAATGAATTTGCGAGACTGCACTGACGCTTTCCGCGTTCCTTTTATAAAATAAAAATAAAAAATAAAAGTTTTTAACATTAAAAGGTGAAATATTTCAATTATTTTCACACTGTAAGAGTGTTAAGTAATTACATACTATGGCGAAGACGATGAACCAAGAATCCCCTTTCACGAAAAGCGACTTCCGATCACTGTTAACCGACATACGTTACCATGTGAACGACGTCGGCATGAGCGCGAATTACGTCGAACGCACGCTCAGTTACGGACGAATTAACTGTTTTTAAAACCAGTTTACTGCTCTCTGCAGTGTTGTTGGCATTTCTGTCAACAATAACATAATGATGCAAAATCACAATGATTTAAATGTATACAATATGCAGCTGCGGCTCAATGTTGAATATCATACACAGTCGTTCAATTCTAAAAGTCGTTCTCATATTATACAGAGTGAGCACTTATACTTTGGAAAAGGTCAATTCCTGCCTAACCTGTATATTGAATATACAACATGAGTTGTACTTTTTGAACTCAACTAGTGTAATAAACTTCATGTTCTCGCAATATTTTAATTTATTGAGACACACCGGTGTCCATTCATAAACAAAATGTTACATCCCATTGAGAGTGCGTTCCCAGGTGACGTCTGTTCCCCGACAGCCTGCCAAGAAAAGCCCCTGGTCACGGATAGCACTTCTGTGAACCCACTCCAGCGCGGGTCAGTCTGAAATGGACAAGGGGACAACATGCCAAACGTCATTTGGGGTTTTGATAAACGTGCAACAGAATCCCGTCACCTTAACATGGACGTATCATCTATAAATGTTCCTAAGAACACATCTCATCACTCCAGCCTCCTCTCACATTTCAAAAACATGCAAGTTAGGGTAATTTGACTATGAATTGAAATTAAATAAGAACGTGAGTTTGACAGCTGGAACTATTTTGGCTCCCAACCCACAGTTTGGGGAACCCTGCTGTATTACGTACGCATGCCGGTGAGTCAACCGCTTACGACATGAATTAAAAACACGATTGTTTGACATTCAACCATCTTTGAACACAAAGTGACACACTGCTCTCAGTGGCACTGTGAGCTCCGGCAGAAGGTCGCTCGCCGGGCCAGTCTTCTCTTCCTGTTAGTGCCCGCACTGCTTCCAATGACCTTTTTTTTTGTCATCTGTTCTCAGGGGTTTGCCCCGTGGCTGGTGAGTAAACACTAAATTTTGAATACAGTCCACCGACATACCCTCTTAATGATGCCACTGCTTTCGTCGCGCGCCCAGGGGGTTATTCCGGGTCTCGCTTGCACACAAGACAACACGTGCACCGGATGTGGAGGACTTTTGGGTGCAGGTGACGGACAAATTGGCATTCGACATATTTGCCCAATATGTTGCCCTCAGTGGAGCCTATAGACATATTCAGAGCATTTCACCCCCCCCCCTCCATATAGTGTTAGGCCACAGCCTTCATAAAATATGGAATACATTCCTTTTCCTCAACACTTTACGCACAACACCCCATGACAAAATGAAAATGACTATATTCCGATATTCCAGAAATAGCTGCACACTGATTCTGCTTCTTGATATTTCAGGGGCCGTGGAGTGACAATAAGGTTAAAAAAACGGATATATGAATTTAAAGCCTTTAATAAATCAAACGCCTTGTTAAGGATCATACAAAAAGAGTCAAAAGTTTCACTCGCAAGGACTGTTAAGTATCAGTCATGGTGTACCACAAGGCACTATCCTCAGTCCCTTCTGTCTTGCATTCATTTGTGAAATTATTATTCTAGTTTGGGACTCAAAAATCATAATTTTTAGATTTAAAACAAAGATTTAACATTGTCACACTTCACTGTTGGGGAAAAAAAACATGCTATATCACAAATTCTCTGATAAAATCCATCTATCATTTTCTATAGTGCTTGTCTTCAATTGGGTTGTAGGTGAGCTGATTCTATCAGAGCTAAAAAAATAAATAAATCTTGTATTGTTAAAATGTCCCTGTTTCATACGTTTAAAGTTGTTTCCACGAGTGTGTGATCTCAAGCTATGATTCATGATTCACTGTAGTACGAACACCATGTCAAACGTCTGACCCCTTCGCAACCTGGCTCCCTCCCCGCCTCCTTGCTCTTTTGGTCACTATTAAAGAGTCAGAGAGGGACACTTACACTATACACTCGGGAGAAAGGAGCTCCACTTCACTTTGCAGGATGCCGCGAAGCCTCACATCAGGTATTTCCATTGCTCCTGTAAGTCCAGGTGCCGCGTGCTCTCGCTGGCCAACCTGTTTGACAGAGTCATCCAACACTCGGCCAGGATGCACGGCATCTCCAATGACCTTCACTCTGAGTTTGTAAGTGGCATTTTTTTTCATCATTTGCATACCCATCGTTCTGTATATGCTGAAAGTCTGATTGAAATTGGTTCTCTGAAAAGACGAGGGAAGCCGAATAGAAGATATCCCGAAAAACAATAAGGACTCGGAAACATGGGCTTTCAATGACATATGAAGACACATTTTTAGTACATTTACGACGAAATTGACTACTCCTGCTGATTGCTGTTTATGTGACGCAAACATGCAAAAATGCTAATTGTTCAAATCATTTCAAGACTGAGACTGCCCATTAAAACTTAGCTGTATATGCTGAAAGTCTGATTGAAATTGGTTCTCGGATGAGACGAGAGAAGCCGAACAGAAGATATCCCTAAAAACAGTAGAGACTCGGAAACATGGGCTTTCAATGACATATGAAGACATTTTTTTGTACATTTATGACGAAATTGACTACTGATTGCTGTTTGTGTGATGCAAACATGAAAAATACAACTGTTCAAATAATTTCAAGACTGAGACTGCCCATTAAAAGTTATGATTGCATTCATAAAGCCACATACTCATTTGAATTAAACCTGACATAGCATTGTAGTACAGTATTGCCAGTCATCACAGCTACGCAGCCACCCGGTGACATTTACATGACATCGGACCTCTGATATTTCACTCTTGGGATGTGCACCGAAGCAGGAGCAGTACTTCGTGCCCAGTCGGAATCACGTTGGAAGGATCAGTCGCAACTGTCACACCTCCAACCTCCTCACCCCCAACGGCAAGGAGAACGCTCAGAAAATAGCGGTAAATCTGCCTTTACGTTTAATCCCGGTATGAGGTGCTCAGGGTACGTTTTGTAGAACCGGTAATGTCTATTTAGTTCCACGTGGAAAGCTGAACTAAAATGGAATTTCCCAACTCCCCCCATTCCAAATTGTCCTATTGTGATTGTAGCGCGAGGAGCTAACCGAGGTGATCCTGAAGCTCCTCATGGCGTGGAGAGACCCCCTGTGGCACTTCCACCAGATCACAGCCCACCAGCATGACCTGGCCAACTTCAGCTCGGACAAGGCCCTCGAGATGAGCGACATGGTGCATGAGCTACGCAAAGGTGTGGAAAAAGTGGCCGAAAAGGTACTCGTGAAACCGAGACGCTAAATTAACCCTTTCGGGGACAGCGGTCACTACAGTGAACAGCTTATCAAGTTATTACTGGTGCGTGAAAGGGTTAAAGATGACAACTATGAAGGCACATTGTGCATTTCTCTACCTTAGATGCAGACACTGGGGATGATCAGCAACTCCGTCGGCACCCTGGCGGATTTCCTGCCCTCGGAAAGCGGCGGGTGGCGCCTGATGAAAGACCACGAGCTCCTCTACTGCTTTCGCCGCGACTCGGACAAGATCAAGAACTACCTGAAGATCCTCAAGTGTCGCATCGTCCCCGAGCACGGCTGCTGAAGGGAAGAATAGAGGAAGGATCACACATCTGGGATGAGTTCAAATCGAGAGGTTGAAGTTCCAAACAGATGAAACGTTTTAGTATGGGGTGCGTAGGAAGCAATAGTGAAATCCAAAAGACTTTTGACAACCTTTCTTCGTATAAGCGCAGACAATGATTGTTGTTTGAATATTATGAAATGTATTCGTTTCAATGCGTAGCGTTTACTTACAATGCAACATAAAATGTTGAATCAAACCTTGGAGCTCACCTATTGATGATCCTTTGTCGATGACCGCAATGTGTCCTCCAATTGTTGACACCTCACATTTTCCCAAGAAAGTCGGTTTAATGATAGAAAAAAAAGTCACATTTTTCAGTTTTTTTTTTTAACTCTGGAAAAGCTGCCATTATTCTCTAAAAAGGACATGACACTTTCTCCTTAAAAAGAATAAAATCCTTGTAATAATGTGCCTTTTGTTTAAAAAAAAAAAAAAAAAAAATACACACAGACACCCGATTTTTTCTGGGATGTCACAATCAGAGTTTTTGTTTGGCCCAAAGCTAAGGTGAGCTAAAGTGGTTCATTGTGCCGTTTTATTACCCTACAAATAGGGATATACTTTTTTTTTTTAATGGTATGACAACTTATTGTAAATATATTTATAGACCCTGACATTACCCCACGCAGAAGAGCACCAAGTAGTCACTGGCAGCCGAAGGGGTAAAAATTTCGATTTATACGTTTATTGATCTTGGGTGTAAAAAAAAAAAAAAAAAAAAAAAAAAAATGGATGTCATAGTGTCTGGGGTCATTTAGTTTCATGACGCGGCTGCTATGTCGATGATCTCGGACCTCCCGCTGTTCTGCTCGACACAGGCGACATGGAGGGAACCATCCCTGTTAACACACACACAAATAATGGGAGGAACACCAAAATGCAGTCGGTAATCGCGATGATAAAAAAAAAAAAAAAAGCATCCATACCGTTTCATGGTGACCACTGTGTCAATGTTGTGGTTCTCCTCTTTGGGCTCCAGGTCTCGCAATATAATCTGTACAAGCAAAAAAAAAAAAAAAAAACAAAAACAAAAAACCTTTTCGGCGAATTTGGGAATACGCTGCGGCTGAACTCATTCACTCCCAAAGACGTTTTTTAACGTCTTTTCAGACTTGGTCCAGAATTGGCTGGTAACTGAATGAGTTAATATACCTTGGCGAGCTTCTCTGGCTGCTCAGAGTCAAATCGCTGGTAAATCTCCAGGCAGACGGAGGAGAGTTGGCCCCCTCCGCTCAGAGTGTGAGTTCGGCGGGCAGGAAGCGGCAAACCGGACGGAAGGAGCACGGTGAACGCCTCCGCTCCGGATTGATCTCTCTCCTGCCGCACGATCCCAAAATATTATGTGACGACACAGTAGGAATGGCTTCGGTGGGTATTACCTTGAGTAGGATGTCCGAGGCGGAGACATCCACTTGGACTGATTCTTCATCGGACAGAAGGTGGTCCCTACCCACCAGCAAACCCGCCTGGAGGGCCGCACCCACCGCAATCACCTCATCGGGAGGCGCCGAGCTCAGGAGCTCCACGTCAGGAAACATGTCGCGAATCATCTGCTGCAGACGAGGGATCCGCGCCGAGCCGCCGCACAGAACCACCTGCGACGGGTGCGGCGTGAGCATTTCTCGTCCGTTATCGTCAAAGTCAACATAAAACTGACCTTGTTGATGTCACTGGTGGAGAGTTTGGTCTTTTCCAGGAGGCTTCGGATTGGCTGGATGCTCTTGTTGAAGAGGGAGGAGCAGAGCAGTTCAAATCGAGCTCTAAGAGGGCAGACAACACAACGGGGTTGCGTTGAGGAAAAAAAAAAAATATTGAATGATGTGTATGCTGGAATACATCTTATGTTACTTATATTTGTCAAGGAACATTTTTTTGGGGACAATTCTACCTTTAGGAAGTTATTATTCCCCAAATGCCACACAAATCACAATAAAATGCTCAGATTTAAAAGATACTTTATCATCGACTCCCACATTTCCACACTAACCTGGAGACATTGCAGTCAAAGTCGGCGCCGTCGTGCAGCGAGTCCACAAAGCAATTGGCTGAACCCAGTGTGGACAGCGAGTGCTTGGCCATGTCCGCTCCGTTCATCAACTTGAGCATTGCTCGTGCGTTACTGGTCACGTCGTGTTTAAAAGTGCTGCGCGCGCAGACAATCAAACGCGAGTTCACGAGCGGTCCACGTCAATGGCGGACTCAAAACTATGGCGACGGTACCGTTTGAACTCGGTGGCGAGATGCTGGGCCAAGGCCTGCGTGAAACTTTCTCCGCCGATGCTGTGGTCAGTGTGGGTGTTCAGGACGCGAAACAGTCCTCCGTTCACCTGCAGCGCGGTCACGCTCAGTGACATGCCACCCAGTTTGTATACCAGAACATGGCTGCCGAAACAAGAGACACATCAATGTTTTTGGGGGGGGGGGCACAATTCATGAACTCATTCACTCCCAAAGACGTTTTTAACCGTCTTTTCAGACTTATTGACAGAACCTCTTTGGAGCGGAACAGTCCTGCCCGATGTTGTAGGCTAAAAGAGCAGCGGCGGGTTCGTGGATCAGCCTGAGGACATTGAACCCGGCGGCTTCAGCTGCCTCCCTGCGTAACGAAGACGTCCGATGAGCACAGAACCACACCGGCAAATGAAGCACAGGTCGCACGGATGTGACCGAACCTCAGCGCGTGTTTCTGTGGGGGCCCAAATTCAAATGGGACGGTAATGACGGCATCGGTCACATCGGAGCCGAGAGCTGACTGAGCCGTTTCTGGGGAAAAAAAAAAATGTTGAACATAAATATGGAATTTTCGGGCCCTAAACCAGAGCCAAATAAATGTTTTTTTTTTTGGGGGCACAATTCATGAACTCATTCACTCCCAAAGACGTTTTTAACCGTCTTTTCAGACTTATTGACAGAACCTCTTTGGAGCGGAACAGTCCTGCCCGATGTTGTAGGCTAAAAGAGCAGCGGCGGGTTCGTGGATCAGCCTGAGGACATTGAACCCGGCGGCTTCAGCTGCCTCCCTGCGTAACGAAGACGTCCGATGAGCACAGAACCACACCGGCAAATGAAGCACAGGTCGCACGGATGTGACCGAACCTCAGCGCGTGTTTCTGTGGGGGCCCAAATTCAAACGGGACGGTAATGACGGCATCGGTCACATCGGAGCCGAGAGCTGACTGAGCCGTTTCTGGGGAAAAAAAAAAATGTTGAACATAAATATGGAATTTTCGGTCGATTTGCGTGTGAGAATGTGTGTTACCTTTCATCTTGTGAAATATGAGTTTGGCGGCATCCTCCGGCGCAACATATTTGGGCCGTTCTCCTGCTGTAATCTCATAATATGGCTTCCCAGACCGGTTTACAACCTGAGTACATGCAACAGGCAATGCTCACAAATTCCCAATAAAATTTTAGGTGGCAGAGCCCATTGAGTTTAAAAAATAAATAAATAAAAATCTCACCTGACACTTTGTCTGTGACTTATGAGCTTGCGTCTCTGCGTCATCAAAGCTGCTCATGGAGAAAGACCATCGTGCAATACAGTGAGTTCAGTAGGCAATCAAGATGACTGTATTATTGTACATTGCCAGAGGAGTATTAGAGCCACACTGGAGCCAAGACACAAATTTAGAATTAAGTTGTGTAAAAACATTCTCACTGCTGCCCCATAAAACTGACTGATCTTGTAGGATTGTTTCCCTCCCCCCTTTTCATTGTGGCCTTAATAGTCCTTCGGAAAACCTCTACCCCCATTTGACGACGAGGATAATATTGCATCACACCTTCTGCCCAGGACTTGCTTGACCTTGTCAACCGTGTTGGCGGCATTGCGTACCCGTCCTTGCTTTGCTGCAATCCCCACGAGCTGTAGAAGACAAACACGTTGAAACATTTCATCGGTCGTATTGAGACACCTTTGTAGGACTGGGCAATTCAGTTTTTGTTTTCATTCTTGTGACTTCCGTTGAGTTTTCCAATCCAGCAACCTTTTCGTCCCCAAGTCCAACTACATTCGTGGAATCCTTCACGCATTTTTTTTTTTTTTTTTTTTTGCGCACGACAGAAAGAGATGTAGCTTCACAGTTCATTTTGTTTACTTGGTGACCAATTTAATGTTAAAATATTAAGTTTACATGCGCGTTGGCAAAAAGTAGTAGGTCATGGGATTAGGAAGTACTGTACCTAGTTTATTTTCAGACCATATTGATCAAGCCTATGCCAAATCGGCTTTGTAGCAGGTAGACACGTATCAAGAAAAGAAACCCACGGGGAATCATTATGGGGAAAAAACTAACAGTAATACCGAAGTAATCATTTATCAATTACCTGCTCATTCTCCCTGTAGGCGACCACAGCCGGCGTCACTCTGTCTCCGGCATCGTTGGCAATGACGTCAGCTCGACCGTCCTACACGCATTAAAAGCATATTCAAATAAAACTGAAAATACATGTCGTCTCACATCGAAGAATTGTGACAAAACTCCACGCAACCGTGTGTCCGGAAATCATACAGCATCCACAGCAGTTAGCATTTGTTAAAAAAATAAAAAAAAAACACGCCATTTCTGACTAAATATACCGTTGCGATAACTACAACCGCTACTGATTTATTCGCAACGATAACGTTAAGAAATTACCGGGAAGAGCTGACCTTAAATATCGCCACACAAGCGCATGTGTAACCGAAGTGGACGCCGATAGCAGCCATGCTGAATGAGATGTAGCCGCCGGCATCACGTGGACAGGAAGCACGTAAACAGCATCCGGGTGAAGAGATTTTCAAAATAATAGCGTGTACGCCTACAAAATATGTGGGCTTTATTGGGGGACGGAGGGGGTTCGAAACGTTCGTATGACTGAAAAATTACGTCACATTTGATTAATTTAAAGACAAAGAAACTACCAATGAATTTATCCACGAAGGAAACTGCATTTCTTGGGTTCTGGACTTCAGTTACTTCACCTAAATTCAACGTAACTGGCCAATGACTCCACCAGATGGCAATAAAGCTATATTCTAAATTAGGTGAGGCCAAAGCAATGTCTTTTTTTTTCAAGTTGTGAAAAGTCCCCCCCCACACACACATAAAATATCCATTATTGTAGAATATGTGTAATACATTACTTGTAAAGACAGTGACATTGGTTCATGTGTCTCCGGGTCAAAGGGAGCACATTTGGTTTGGGCAATGCAGCTATTTATAACAGCAAACACCACACTATGTCGTTGCTTCTCCTCTGCACTCTGCTGCTTTTAAATCGGGTGTCTTGTTCCAAGGCAGGAAACTGCGAAGGTAACAAAGTGTCTGATTTCGAAATCTACATTGCATGTAACCTCATATCGACAGAACAGCAATTGGGTGGTCAATATACTGCGCGCACGACTGAGGGGCCCAATCGTTTCTCGCCCAAGAAGCATGAATGAGATTAATAAGCATGTTTTGTGACTATTAATAATACCGGTCTGCAGTGTGCGTGGGATTTCTCCACAGACTATATGGAAGCGTGACGGCAACCCATAAAGAGCTGACCCCTGCTCTGATGGAGAAAGAACTTTTGCGGGCTTGCTCTGTTGCTCAGGGGAAGGAGGCGAGGCTGGTGAGAACACTATTGATCACAGAAGACAAAGGAAAAAAAAAAAAAGTCCTGTTAAAACTCATTCAGTACCAGCCAATTCCAGACCAAGTCTGAAGACGTTTAAAAACGTCTTTGGGAGTGAATGAGTTAAGTGCACTTAACACAATTATTAAACGCAATACACATATGACATAACAACATGGACAATGTATTGATGCAAAGTGCACATTCACTATATTGTAAACAGAAATACAGGATAAAAATATGCTCTTTTAATTCCATTACTTTTTTTCCCCAAAGTATTCTCAATGATCAACTGCAAGTGAGGGAATTAATGGCCTTTGTTGTGTGACAGTGTTACTACCTCGGTGCCAGCAACGACGCAGCCACCCGTGTCACAGGGTCCGTCTCGCAGCCTCTGGCCTCCCACGTTCCTGTGGAGAAGATATGCCAGCGCCTCAGCAGCAGGGACACGCAGATATGTGAACTCAAACATGGTGCGCAAAACGTCCGTCTATATGGGGTGGTATGCTATTAAAACGTCGTCCCCTTCCACCTCCCCAGAGCCTGAGTTGAGGGACCTGAGCAGTGAAGACCTGAAAAAGCTGCGAGTGCTGGAGCTGAGGAATATTTTAGCCTCGTGGGGAGAGGAGTGCCGAGGGTGCCTGGAGAAACACGAGTTTGTCAGCCTCATCCTGGAGAAAGCCCCGCGCCACAGTCAAAAAAGAGAATTGTGAATTACTGTGTTCAAAAAAACATTTAAAAAAGCAATTCAAATCTATTAAAAAAAATTAAAAAGAGATTTATTCTTAACTCAATAGAAGTGTCACAGAGAAACAGATTCACATGATAAATACAGAGCAGAGAAAATCTGAACAGAGAACCGAAAGGGATCATATTTGCGATGTGATAAGTTCCCGACAGAACAGGGGGTGGAACATTTGCCCCTCTCTCCCACTCCAGGAAAGACCACATCACATGGGATTCAGGACAGAGTTCTTGTGTGACGCTCAGCTTTTGCCCTTGGTTTTCTTCTTTTTGTTTGTGCTGCTGGTGACGGGAGGCGCCGGGCTCACCGGCGGAGCTCCCAGCTTCTTGGTTTTGGCCTTTTTCACTTTGGCCTTAATGGCCTCGATGTCCAGCTTGCCTTCCACGGGTGCTGAAACCGCAGACATAAACATGTCAGTTGCGCACGAAGAACCCTCGAATTTCGGCCTTCACAGATAAGTCAAACGGTATGCCGTTTGCGCAAAAAAACGCTTTTGCGCATATCTGTTGCATTCATTCCGCGACGTTACTCAAGCCCGTATGCCAACTATGGCTCGTTTGTAGTGAATAATGTAAATACTGAAGTCGATTCTGCAACATGCAATTTTTTTTTGTGGGGTTGCGCTCGTCAAGGCAGTTGGATACATTACTGTACAACACCACGGGACTTTGCGTTTCTACCTTTCGTCTTCTTCAGTAAGGGTTTCTCCTTCGGAGGAATGAAAGCTTTCTTCCGCTGCTCCTGCTTCTTGGTCAGCGCCTCGGCTTGCTTCACCTAAAATAAACCAAGTCATTTAGCAGATGCGGTTTCGCGTGATTATGACGTCATTCGCACGGAAGTGCACTGGCCTTGATCTCTGCCATCTTCGCCCTCTTTTTCACGCTTTCTCTCAGGAAGAATTCACCCGAAGCCAATTCTTTGTCGACCTTTAGTGAGAACATCAAGCGTCAATGATGATTATTATCGAATATGATGAAAATTTGCATTCGCGAGCGTGCTGACCTGGCTGTCTGGTTGTTGCGGCGGGAAGGGAGTGTACTCTTTCTTCACACTCTTCTTTCTGGGCTCCTTCCGCTTGGTCAAGTTCTTGTGTCGGAACTTGGGCAGGAAGCGCTCCCAATTCTGCACGCGGAGTTCGGGGTCCTTGGACAGTTCTCGTTTGATCATCAGGGTCTGCCAATTGCAGCAGAGAGACGAGCTTAAAAAAATTAATACATTTGGAACTTTGCAATGGGATGCAACCGGGTATCATCTTTTGTGCCTTCAGCCCTGGGATGAGCCAACCGTGGCAGTCAAACCCTGAGAGAGTGATCTCCGTCAGAAGGGTCAGAACAAGGATGAAAAAGCATTCTTCATCAGGCACGGGGACAAGGAAGGGGGACGAAATCAAGCAGGGGGTCGTACCTTGATGTTGTAGATGGGGTGGATGTTTTTCATGGTGTCCATGACAACTTTGCGCACCTAAACAAGATCACACGTGACAGAACAAGACATGATCTCCTTTGTGCCATTTATTTGCCGATACAAAAATTGGAAAAATAAATCACAGATCCTATAGGTGTGGAAAGTGCCGACCTCCTTTAGGCCGTTGAACGGCCCCAAGGCGGACACGGTGTTGCCCTGAACCATCACATAGCAGTTGGTCAGTAGTTCTAAAGCCTGGACGAGACAACGACGTAAGTCATTTAATTGAGATGGACGGGGGAGGGAATAAACTATGACTGAGGTTGCTTTGACGGTCGTATGACATGAAGGGACTCACCTTTAAGGTGGAACCTTTCGGGCCGATAAGACGCTGCCTTCGCTTAACAAATCGTTCTCTGTTCCTCACCAAGGTCCCTATTTTGATGATGTCACACGCCACATCATCCTGTAATATCCGCACAGCCTGGCGGTGGGAAAAAAAAACACAAACATGTGAAGGAGAGAAACACTGAATGCGATGACGTTTGCTGTCAACACGAGGATAATCACCTGTTCAAACGGAACGCTCCTGGCAAGCAGCTTGATGAGATCCCTGGCTCTGATGATGATGTATGGGTCAAAGGTTTTCTTTGTGGTGCAAACAGTCATGCTTCCTTCAATCAGGTCAAGGGAGGCTTTCACATACTGAAAAGAAACATGTTGATCAGGCATCAGAGTTTTGGGACTAATTTTCTCCGGCGACATGACTAGTTTGTGGCTTACCCACCATTTCTCCCAAAGCCTTCTCGACGAGTGGCCAGCAATCTTTCAGATAGGCCTCTCTGTATTTAGGAAAGAGGGTAGCAAAACTGCTCTCCTCCAACATACCGCGGGGGTTGTCTTCTTTAGTGAATGGTGCCTCTTTCCAGCCATCAGGAACAGTGAGCAGATCGGCTTCATCCGCTGCATGACAGAAATCAAATTCATCACATATGGTTTGATTGCAGACAAGGTACAAGAGGAGCCCAATGTATTTAGTTGAGACCAAATTCACACTGTTGTGGATAAACTGGCCAGGAAACGCTTTTGTTATTTTTTTGAGGTGCTTACAGAAACTAAGTTAGAAGACAAATTAGCCATTTAGAAAAATCGTCAACTAGAATGACATTTCTAGAATTCGTTTCAAAGGACAAAGATGATCATTTAGGTCTTCTTAACGAGACAAAGAAACAAGGCAACGCGTTGCTTCGGTGCAAATTCCTGCACGCCAATCATTCAACACGTTTAAAGCAAGCAATAAGATTAAGGGTGATTCAAAACTCCTCTTTTTAGCCAAGAGTGTTGCATCGCGTACTTTAATATATGGCAATATACACGTACAACTTAGCCCGCATTACTTACCCGGCTTTTTGTCAGACCCTGTCCCAGTTTGCGTTTCACTCACGCCGTCCATAGCGTTTACAGACGCCATCTTTAAGCGGATGCGGAAATGACGCGTCAACTATCTTCTTCGGCGTTTTACAAATTTAGCGCGAGCGTAATCAGACGAGCCTGCTGCGCTGCCGCCACCATTAGTGAATATAAATTATGCAGCTATGCATAAAGTATTAATCTTCTCTGAAACCCAGCTTTTTGTTCGACCATGTCCCAGTTTGCGTTTCACTCACGCCGTCCACAGCGTTTACAGACGCCATCTTTAAGCGGATGCGGAAATGACGCGTCAACTTTCTTCTTCGGCGTTTTACGAATTTAGCGCGAGCGTGATCAGACGAGCGTGCTGCGCTGCCGCCACCATTCGTCAATATAAATTATGCAGCTATGCATAAAGTATTAATTTACTCTGAAACCCGGCTTTTTGTTCGACCATGTACCAGTTTGCGCTTCACTCACGCCGTCCATACCGTTTACAGACGCCATCTTTAAGCGGATGCGGAAATGACGCGTCAACTATCTTCTTCGGCGTTTTACAAATTTAGCGCGAGCGTAATCAGACGAGCCTGCTGCGCTGCCGCCACCATTAGGCAATATAAATTATGCAGCGATGCATAAAGTATTGATTTACTCTGAAACTGGTGAAGACAACATTCAAAGTTATTAATTTGCCTCAATTTCAATTATTCAAAAGCAATGCCCCACTATTGACTTGGTGTTGGCCACTTAATGAGGTGGAAAGGAAGAGTAGACGCCATTCAGTCAAGTAGATTTGTATGAACAACATTTTTTTTTAAATGAACACAACAAAAATGACAGTTCCAAGCACTTTATTTCTGTTGACGCCGTTTGTGGAAAGCCATAATCGCTTTGGTTGCACTCACTGACACAACTGCCAATCCCAAAATGCCCACTAACCCCGCCACAATGGAGAGCATCGTCAAATTCTCTTTCCCTGCAAAAAAAAAAAAAAAAAAAAAAAAGGGACATTTCATTTATTCAGTAGGCAATATTGCATGTCTAATATTTAAATGTGGATAGTACAACGTCAAAACATGAGAACATTCTTAACAGATAAACTCGTCACAATCTGATCAAAATTGAGTAACTTACAGGAAGACCCTTTGGTTCTCAACGCCTCCCGACTGACAATAAGAGGGCCGGCAGACACCACGGCAGCGCGTTTCGAATTTGGTTTTGTGCTCATCATGCGGGTTGCCGCTCGCTTGACGCGGTGATGGCCCGTGCAGTCCTACAAGTTTGGAGGAATAACATGGGAATATTTTGAGATGTTAACGAATGTAAAAGACATCAAGTCGTAGGTATTTTGTCATAAGGGCTTGGGGCGGGGGGG